ATGCAAGAGCTTTCATAAAACGATATTAATAGCGGAACGAATCGAAGAACAAGAGTTGAAAGCTTTTGTTGCCTATTTATACACACAAGCGGTTTTAAGTAAATTGCTTTCATTATTGGGGGACGAAACACGATGAGAGGGACAAATGATGATTACGGATTGATTCGGTAACGACCACTTACTACAGTTTCAACAAACACCTACTTTTACGACAAAGAAACTTAATTAATAATGCAGATAATAACTACACGTGTTGCTCGACTTGTTAGAAACGCACTAAATTACCGACAAAGAACTTGCGCGGTTCTCCTAAATGAGAACATGATGACTTGATACAAAACGGCTTTTAACACCATCAATTTTCGACCGTAACAACGCAAACTGCTGTTATTATTTATAAGGAAACTACATATTTTTTTGCAAAAAATGCTTTTAATTGAACAATACGTTCAACATTATATTTTTCATAAAATTGTCAAATGTGACAACATATAGTTTTTTTAAAACAATAACAATAACAAATAAGAAAACCAAGTTTATCTACAATCTCCCAATTTTAGAAATCTCAAGTAAAATATTTGATTTTCTAATAACCCAAACCTTAACGCTTTAAATTTAAGATACTTAAATATTTATTAGAAATAAAATGATAGATTCCTATAAGGCAAATCTTTAAACATTAAGCAGATACAAGTTAAAAAAAATCAATTTGTGTCTTATAGTGTTCAAAACATTTAACAAACTAGCAAATTCTAAAATGAAAACACCGGATAAAAAGAGCTAAAGTGTCTACATGATAATATGGAAATTGTCAGTTCTGTTATTTTTGTTTTTTCTCTAAAACCAATACCAAAACTTGAACAAACTAAAACTGTGTTTTAGAATTGTGAATATTATAAGCTTTAAATTCTAGAAGAATCTTATGTTTTATAATTATAAAATAATCTTAGACATTTGAGAAACTGTAACCTGGTATTTTGGAATTACTCTCAAAAAAAAAAAAACCAACAACTATAATAACAATAGAAATGTAAAAAACTGGACCCTTTAAATTTGAATTAATTTTATTTATTAAGCAGAGAAATAGTTAGTAACATAATAACAGTTTGTAAATTAATATCCTCAAAAAAAAATAAACCTTTGCGATGTTGAAAATATGTATGTGAGTCTTAAACGTTTAAAGAGGAGCAGGACTCCCCAAAGAGTTGAAATTCGGTTCAACATATTTCAAATTAAACCTATGCAAAGTACGCAAGTTGGGGCTTAAACGCGCCCTTATCTTCTTAACACCTAAACCTGAATACTCTAAGGGCTTAAACTCGATTGAATGGGAAAATTGGGCCGTTTTACGCAAGATGGAATGGTCCAATAAGCGGTTAGTGTGTCATACGTTGACGACAAAATTCTCGACTTATTCTTTCCCGGCGCTTATTTGCCCTATTTTATTTACAAGCTCAACGGCGAAGCGGTGGATAAATTGGACGAAATTATGGCCGATTCCGCTGGTGGTGGCGGAAAATATGCTTAAATACGGAGAGGATTTTTCTGGAGTGGAGGCGGAGATATAACAGAGAAAATGCAACAATTTCGTATTCTTTTATAAAAATAAATATTCAAGGTTGTCACGTTTTATGCGCATCACTACAAAATTGTAAAAAAAAATTCACGGTTTTTTGATAGAACAATTTTTTTCTTTGTTTTAAGACTGTTAAGACGTGTGGATAAAACTTGATTCATCCTAAATATCTATAAAATGTAAAAATAAAGAAATCGAGAACCTATCATTTATTTCTTGTAGAGGTAAAAGGATGTCTGCATTCACATTTCGCAGTCACATAACAAATGCAAACAAATATAAATCTGCAAAATAAAACAAATAGCCGGTTTTGCATCTTTAGGTATGCAGCATGCAATATCTCGTAACATCCTTTGGGAGTTGTATCTTATTGCGACGATAAATTTTCAACATTTTTTTAAGTACTTAGAAACAGGTTAATTTTATTGATTTGAAAAATTCTGTTCATTTCTTTGATAAGTGGGAAAGCGTTGAATATCCTCTCGCAAGCAGCGATTTTCCTTTTGAAACTTTGATGAGTATCAAAAGCAAACAGAGTAAATCTTTTGCAACTTTTGGTAACAAAGGCCACAGTTTGGCATTCCGCAAGCCGCATCTCCCTTTGGGGTTCAAAGCGCCAAATCCCGAAATCAATTAACATTAGGTGTAATTAGGGAGACATTGTAATGTCAAATAGGCGCCAACTATCCACTCCGTCTGGTCGTCGCATAATTCCGATATCTCTATAAATTAGATGGATGCAATATATGCGGTATTAACAACGACTAAATCATGCCAAATGTGCATAGAACCTTAACGCTGACGCAATTAGAGGAAATTAATAAGCCGGAAGGATGTATTCAGAGCGTCATTTTGTCGTTGTTTTCTAAAATCTTCTGTGTGATTAAATTTTTGTTTACATTGCTCAATCTCCGCATTTTGTTGTTTTTCACTTTTAGAGTGTCCAAGATATCACAATAATAACAGACCTGTGATTTATTATAAGATCATAAGTCACGGGTGTAATTTATGAGGAGCATAATGTATGTACCTATAGTTAATAACAAACACCTATTTCGTTATCAGTTGATGTGTAATATGACAGTTTAGGTTGGGAACTCGAAAACTGATAAGAAAGTGACCACTTTCCAACCTAAAATGTCATATGTCATGTTTTTCAAAATTTGATATTACCTACCTCCATTACGATACATTCTGTTACTGCTCTCATTTTCAAATGCCATTTTGGTCACAATTAAACGCATTCATTAGTGGATACGTGCCGTAGTTCTGGCAATGTACAGGGTTATTCATAAATAGGAAGCAATATTTGAACCTCAAAAACGACCTATAAAATGATGTTAATTCAAATAATAACTCTACACTGTCCTATCTCTACTGACAAGAATTTTACAGCCCTTTGAATGTGGGTATAAAAATAGATTTTTTTTGTAATAACTTCGGAACCATTTGACCAAATATTATAAAATTTGGAAAAGTTCCTTACGAGAACATGCCTTTTAAACTAGTAGTCTCGAAAACCGGATACATCTTCAAAATTTCAAGTTCCAGCAGTTGCAGGTCATATTTTCTGTGTTTTTTTTTTGATCATTAATTTTTTATTGCTCAGAACAATAGAGTAATTAATTTCGAATAAAAAACGCATTGCTTGCCATGGATACCACTCATTCAAAATTCATATTTTTCATTTTCAGCGTTGTGCAGTCCTCACTTTAAATTAAAATATCTTAAGAATGCATTTCCAGATTACACAATGACACCAAAATACTTGCTACAGAAGGCCATCATTCGAGCAATCGTTTGTTCTTTGTTTCTCCACTCACCGCTGCGTGACTTGAGTCGAAATTTCAAACTCTTGCTTGAATAGATCATTCTACAGTTTTAATATACTATTTATAAAAGTTTGTATTCAATATTTGTTTATTTTTTCAATCATACTATAAAATTTCTTACTTGGATAGGAACGAAATCAGAAAACTTTTTGCTCTCTGACTGAACAAAAAAAGATATTTTTGGTAATATTAAATTTTTTTTTCAATTGGCAACTTTTACAGTACAGATATTTTTAAATAACCATATATTATTACATAATAAATTAATAATAAAGTCGACGATTTTCAAGTTACTAAACATTGATTTATCCATGGATTTGAGCTCGGATTCGTATAATACGAATTATGGCCTAGTGGAGCTTCCTAGCAGCTCTTCTACCGCTTCCCAAGTTTGTAATTCATTAAACGGTATGAGCAAGTAGCTAATTGACATTTTTAATAGACTTGAACCAAAGTGTTTATGTTGATGTTAAAACCAATTATTTATAAATAAAATTATTGTAATTCATAGACTTTTTTTTAAAAATAAATAATTTTTGAATCATATATTCATTCATTCAGTAAGTAGATTTTTTGTTTCCTAGATTATTATCTCCTTTCTATTATGATTACTCAGTGATTTATTAAACGATAAACTCTTTGTTTCATTTCACATTTATCAAATCATGACACAAAATAGTAATAGCTATTTACCTACTCGAAAGTGGTATAATAAGAGATGTAATGTGTCACACATAAAATGAAATTTTTGATAAAAGGATTTAACGACAAGTATTAACGACACGTTTTACCTGTGTATATCCATTTTTCATCTTTTATAATGTCATTGCAAACAGTAAAATATCAAATTACTTGCAATTTATGCACTTTATAACTGTAATTAATGCGAAATAAAGAAAAATTTTTAATCTACAATTTTTAAGCTCAAGTTTCTCGTTGTGAGACAAATAATGTTTTTTTCTAACTATTGACAGAATTGTCTTTAAGTGTTACTTCTCCCCACCACATCCCAATCTTCACGCTGTGTTAAATTCGCTCTCAACCTGATGGATTTCACGCAAGACCTCGCCATAAATTATCATGAATTAGTGTTTATATCCCGCTTATGACGGTGCAATTGTCCACATCGGCATAGATATTTGCGATAGTTTCAATGTCGACATTTGTCAAATCCGCTCGTTATTTATCGAATTTTCACGGTGTCTGCCTTACATGTATGGTGGGGCCTAATCCTCGCATCCACACTGTCAACAATTTTTAATTTACGCCCGAAACAAAGCGCCGCCGGCCTGCAAACACTTTCCGAATCGATTCTCGCTGCACTAATAGACGCCGCTTTGTGCTCGCGTAAAATTGATAAAATAGGAAAAACTCGTTGGGGTTTTAATTTTGGCCCGTTTTGACGCGATCTAAATTGAGAATCGGGCGTAATTTGCACCACTCTCTATCTCAAACTGCATATTAAAGTCGTCATGAATATCGGCAAAGTCGTAAACGAGCATAACTTCCTTACATATCAGCTAATAAAACTTGCATTTGCTGACATTTTCAGGCTTTCGGCCTAATTAAAAGCGATTTTTTGCTTGTTGCAGGCAATCCTCCAAAATGAAGATGAGCAAGGTGGGAAACCAGACGAACTCTCAAGACCCTCAGGCGGTAAACTCGAGAGTTTTCGTCGGAAATCTGAACACATTCCAGTGCTCCAAAACGGATGTGGAAAGGATGTTTCAGCGTTATGGACGGCTAGCTGGTGAGCACTTTTAAAATTAATAGATTTTTTTTCTCATCGTGTAGTTTTATTATACGACGTTCGTCAGCTTCTCCATGGCTTTACGTCGTTAAAGGGAAAAGATGAAATTTCATTAAATTTGAAGTTTCAAAGCTGAGCTATGTAAAGGACTGTCACAGTTTTATTCCTATTTTCTAACAAAAAACAAAAACATTGGCTTGACAATTTAAAAAATTTAAAGTTTCGAAAACAAAACACAATTTTGTTTATTGTAAAAATTGTAATTATGTGAGAATGATTTAAAAAAAAAATCTTTGCAACATGTTAAGTTTATCTGAATTTTCACTGCTTCAGTAAACTATTTGAGAGGAATATTTACGAAACAATATTTATCTTTCAAGTCAGATTTTAGTCATTTTGTCGAAATAAATTGCAGAGTTCCCATTCTAATACAACCAAATCATCTAGTTTATTTAAATAGACAGTTTGGAAATTGTCTCTTTATGCTTTGGTGCACTCTTTTGCAACGTCCCGCCTGTTCCAGACATCACCAAACATTTGAAATTGACATGTCCAGAAACCATAAACAGATTTATTTATTATTTAATGTAGAAAATCTGGAAATTTTCAAACATCACGTCCAGAAATGAATAAATCTCTCAATGTTTAATTGTTGAAAATCAATGTTTTCGACACGACCCACGCAGCGAACAGTCTAATTAAAGACATTAAATAAGTTTAACGTGTCGTAAAATTTAATACAGTGTTACTCGAAGGACCATATATCAGTTACCGGGAAACACTAAGGTACCGAAATAATTAGCACGTCAAGGCAATTATTCACGGTTATGCTCTGTCATTACCGATATTTAGGGACAACGAATTTTAAACAACTCGAGCGAAAATCGACACCAGAAGACTGAAAACGCAACTTTCTAAAGCAGGGAAGCAAAAGACTGCAATGGCTGGTATTGATTCGTTTACTCACACAGCAATTTCTTTTAGTTACTTTTTGTTTCACCTTTACAGACAGTTAATTGCTACTATTGTTTAAATGTCTTCTCTTCTACATTTAAGAAATTGAAAAAAAAATCAAGACAAGTATTTCCAATAGGCCAATGAAATTCTGCCTACTGTTTTCAAGTTAGTTACTATAACTACAAATTAATTTTAGCATTATCCAACAGAAGTAATTTTGAAAATAAATTATCTGTGTATTAGAAATTTTATGTTATAACCATTAATATGTTTCAATAATTTTCCTAATTTTTAAATATTATATTGTCTCAAAATAATTTTTAGCAAATACATAGGTGCGCCAGAATTCGCGCCCCGGAGAAAAATGCCATTTAAGTTAAGATACCAAGAATATAGAAAAAAATTCTATCTATAAAAATTTGAAAATTATGAGAGATTTATTTCTGTTGGAAAAATAATTTCTCAAGTTTTTTTGCTACAGGCTATTTTAGAAAGGAAAACAAGGAAGCTGTATCCTAAATTGTAACTCTGTTTAATGTTATTTATGGCTTTTATTGCCAAACTTTTTGTACTTTTATTAAATAATTATAAAAAACATATACCGGATCATCAGTATCATTAAATAGACATAGAAAAATGTCATATGTCAAAAAATAAATATCAAAATTTTTTGACAGCATTTTTTAAACATTTTTTCCATGTTCCTGTTTTCTTTTTTTATTTGAAATTTTGCTCCAGAGCGCGAGTTCTATCACACCCTGTATGTATTCATCATTTAATTTGAAAATGTTCCCTACAATTTCCAAATACATTCTCAAAAAAATTTGTTAGTTTTAATAATAAAAAATAAAAAAACTACTCTGATGACCTACAAAAAATTCCTTATTCTAACAAAGAAAAAAGAAAAAAATACTTAGTAATAATAATTCGAATACAAAAAAAGAAATAAAATTAAAAAACTGCAACATAATGACTAAATTTGAGCAAATAAAAATAGAAAAAAATTGACAGAGAAAAAAAGAAGAAAGTTCTTAAAAGACAAAAAAAGACAAGAGAAAAACGAAGTCAAAAGCGTCAAAAGATGTTAAAAGCAGAGCTAACGGTCTTCATGCGTCAAGATTTAATTTGTCCACTCGTGAATAAAACAACGACAAACTTTATAAAAAAAACATTTTAGTGGTATTTGAAAAAGTCATTTTCAGCTAAATTGCATCAAAAATTATACTGACGTTTGCTTTTAAGCTTTGTGAAAATTTTATGAATTAAATAATATCCATCCTGAAATGAAATAAATCAGTCTCACACAAAACTCCACTTATTTGTGTAAAAAGTTGTCCGCATAGTTTCATATTAAAATAATCCGGTTTGCTTTTTACTTCTTGTTCCTCCCTCTCCTATGCATAAAAATTAAATACCGTGGCGATATTAGAGTCGGAGGGCGTCTCACCGGCACATATGACATTATAAACAATCATATATTCATGAGGTGGCAGGTATAAAGTATTAAAATCGTGCCGCAGCATTGCAGGTTTGAGGGGCGGCTTACCCTTTTCGCCCTGGGGGCGTAGCCGCGAACACCTAACACAAGGGATGAAGGGAGGGCTGCCGTGATATATAGACGTGCAAAAAATCTGCGTGTAAACGTTGGGGAATTGTTTAATATTCCGGTGTCGCATTATATTTGGCTTTTATGCATCAACTCGACAGGAACTTAAGTTGCGAGCTAATTTCATTGCTGATCAAAGGAATGATCAATGACGAAAACAAACCGAGATTAATTAGGGGCTTGGAGACCCAGTTTTGGATTAATTGGGGGCGGGAACTGATAATTTCTTGATTTGTGACCATGCTGGACGGTTACCAAAAGTTATTTTGGACGAGAAACATGTTTTTGCAAAGGAACATAATTTTCAGACGTCATAGAATGTCAGCTCTGAAATTAATAGTACAAATATTTTGAATTTAGAAAATTAATATTTTTTAATAAAACTTAAGTAAAACTGTAAGTGAATTACCAGCAACACATTTTTATAAATCATTACTACAAATTCAAAAATGACGTTTCGTGTGTTATTTAGAAAATAATAATAATAAACCACTTTTGCACATTACTAATCTTTTTGTCTTCTTCAACATTTTGTATCGTCTTCAACATTTGTACACCCTTTTTTTCAGTTTTAGTTTTCACTGTTGACAACTTTTTTTCTTCTTTTGTTGTCAAATCTTTTCTTTTGCAGTGTTGCCAATCGTAAATTTTTATGCTAAAGTCGCACTATTTTGTCACATGGCAGCATTACTAACAAACAACAATGTAGCATAGTTTCCTGTGTCAAACTTAGTGAAACAAGTTTTTTTGTTAATTGCAAGATTTAATTTTGAATTTTTCTATTGTATTTTTTATAAGTAGTATCAATTGAAAACACAATACACGTTTTCTAGTGTCAAAGGGCCTTGTTTTAGAAAGACAGTAAATAAGAGAAATGAAATTTTGATGTAATGCATATAAAAGTAAAGACAGATTTTGAACAAATTGATATTTGTAGCTTGAAACTCGTAAAATACACTTGTTAGTCCGGTCAAATTAGTCATAAAAATAGTGGTCAAATAACTAAAATTCCGACAGAGCTAAATTTTGGTGGAGACCTTGGGTATACCATTAGAAATAAAGTGTCAAAAGTCCCCATCGATCCCATGTGTGCTAAAAAAGTTATTCGGGGTCAAAGGTCAATATTTGACGTTTTTTAGATTTTTTTCGAAAACGGCAAGTTTTATCAAAAAAGTAGCTCAGACGAAAATTATAGATCTTAAAATTATCTACAAAATAGTCATTATGCTTTTTTTCCAAGAATCACCATTCCTGAGATATCGCGATTTTAAAAGTTGAAGGAGTAACGTTCTACATCATATGCACATACAGAGTGAGCCAGAACTCGCGCCCCAAAGACAAATGCCATGTAGGGTAAGGTACCAGGAACATAAAAAAAAATTAAAAACATTCTATCTATAAAAATTTCGAAGTTATGAGAGTTTAAATTTTGCACTTTGACTCTTATTTATTTCTGTAGGATAAATAATTTTCCACGTTTTTTTGCTACAGGTTATTAGAAAAGGAAACAAAGAAGCTGTATCCTAAGTTGTAACTCTGTTTAATATTATTTGTAGCTTTTATTGACAAAATTTTTGTACCTTTATCAAATAATTATAAAAAACATATACAAGGTCATCAGTATTATTAAATAGACATAAAAAAATGACAAATGTCAAAAAATAAATGTCAAAATTTTTTGACAGATAGAATTTTTTAAACATTTTTTCAGTGCTCTGGGGACTACCCAATTACTCCCTTTCAAGGAAATGCGCGATTTTTTGAACAACCTGTATGTATTACCAAATAAATTCTTTTTAATTCTAATGGAATCGAGATATTTATAAGTTTAATGAAGTAGAAGAAAAATTTCAAGTAAAATAAGATACGATGAACATAAAAAAAATGTTTAAAAAATTTTATCTGTCAAAAAAATTTGACATTTGTTTTTTGACATTTGACTATTTTTTATGTCTATTTAATAATACTGATGATTTTGTATATGTTTTTTTACAATTATCTAGTAAAGGTACAAAAGTTTTGCCAATAAAAGCCACAAATAACATTGAACAGAGTTACAATTTAGGACACAGCTTTTTTGTTTCTTCTTCTAATGGCCTGTAGCAAAAAAACTTGGAAAATTATTTTCCCTACAGAAATAAATAAAGTCAAAGTGCAAAATTTAAACTCTCATAACTTTGAAACTTTTATAGATAGATTTTTTTTTAAATTTTTTCTATGTTTGTGGTACCTTACCCTACATGGCATTTGTCTTTGAAGCGGGAGTTCTGACGCACTCTGTATGTGCATACCATGAAGAACGTGACTCCTTCAACTTTTAGAATCGCGATATCTCAGGAATGGTGATTGTTAAAAAAAAAGTATAAGGACCATTTTGTAGATAATTTCAAGATCTATATTTTTTGACTGGGCTACTTTTTTGATAAAACTTACCGTT